TCCCCAAAACCCCAAAACCCCAAAACCCCTAAAGGTCTAAAATAGATTGAAATTTACAAAATATTGCATAAATCATTGTAGAGCATGACTTTTTAAGAGACATGAGCTCTCGACTGAGGCAGCAAATATTAGGATAATGAGCTTAGAAGCATACAATATTTATATAGCTAAAAGCAAGCATGGTTAGATAGTTAAGCTACGGACAGTATGAACAATAAATTAATTTTTTTGCTTGAATCTTAAGTTTAACTGTAGTTTCACCATATTAATAAATTTAAATGGCTCTATTTATTCACACGGATAAGAAATATTAAGATATAGTTCCTTTCTTTTATTGGCACAAAAGTATTCTTTTATTCTAATGCATTTATTACCCAAAATTACCAAAGCTTTAGTATTGATTTTAAAATTTAAGTACTACTTTTGTGAACAAGATTTGCTGAAAATAAGTCTAAAGAGATGCTATATAAGAAGGGACATGTTTAAATGTACCTTTTATTATATGATTTAGAATATGTAATACCTAACTTAAGGTATCTAATCATGTATTTGCTCAATTACTTTAATCCCATTTTTAATCAATCAAAACCCTAAACACATTTTCATAATCCCAGGAAAGAAACTCTTCAAATTAGTTATCTAATAGATCCTCTATTCTGTATGTATAAAGAGTTCCTTCAGTATCACCACAAATGAGGGTGCTGGTCGTCTGGTTGTATTCAATATCAATAATGCCTCCCTTCATCTTTTTTAGCTGAACCTCAGCGATTTTATCAAGCGTATCATAAATAAGCAATGGGCCGTCACCTCCAATGGCGAATAAATCTGTATCAGGGATTTTAAAAACCACAAAAATAGCTTCGAGAACATTGTCCTTCAAAATCTGTATATGGGTATTTTTATCCCAGACTGCAAAGTAGCCTGTCAATGTTGTAGCAGCGATATACTTACTGCCTATCTCAAAAACACTTGTGATGGATTCCTCTCCAAAATCGAGAGTCTTGTCCAGCACATTTGTCTTAATGTTATACAAGCATATCTGACTGCTGGACTCAGTCCCGATGGCCAGATGTGTACGCTTCTTGCCTGTGTGGTAGTACGATATGTAGCTAATGTTATCCTCGATTAGCTCGTCATACTCTTGAACTCACTTTATTCCAAAATCAGAGATTACAAAGATTTTTACAGCTTGCTCATAAACAAGAGCGAATTCTGTCTTGTCAAGAAAGATAATAAACTTTCTTCCTCCTGCATCTGATCTCTCAGTGACAGAATCTGCAATTGATTGAGACTCCATGTGAGAAAACCTGACTCTTTGAGAAATCATATGGAGTTTCTGTCTCTCAGCACTTTGCAAGAGATCTACAAGAATGACTTTACCTTCTTTGTAGACCACCAAATAGTTATTCTCGAAAACTCCTGGGCAAGGAGGGAAGGATAGCACAGCATCAGTTGGTGACAAAGGAGAAAAGAACTCAAGATTTGCCAGCTTCTTCGCTTTCAAACTCATAAAGAAGTTCTGGGCTTCGCTAAACAGAAGTAGTTTCTCTTTATTGAGTAGGACTATCTTCACCAAAGAAAGCATATTTGTTGAGATTCTTTCATCCTCTTTGTCATGCCTGCATTCGACTGCTTTCTTTTTGTTTGGTCGAGCCATACGCCCTGCAGAGTGAAGAGACTCACTTTCGTAGCTCTCCTTAGACTCTTCGTAACTAGAGGATTGAACTTTGGAGCTCTCAGCGATGCTTTCAGGCAAGTTGTCCAAAAAATTCGGGTTATTCTTACTGTTATTATTTGTACCACCGACATTGCCGTGCACTAGATTCTCTAAATTTTTATAATCCTGATCAGAAGCACTTTCACTAGCATGGATTCTGTCATTATCACCGAGATTATTTCTGAGTTTTTCTATGGTCAAGGCCTGACATCACTGACTGCCTCTTCATGATTTCGTCGTCTGATGCATTGGCACCCGCTAAGAAGTCAAGCTTCTTCTTAATATCGTCGTCTGAGCTATCATCCTCTGACTCGAAGTTGTTCTCGGCAGCCTTCTTCATTGCTGTGTTGATCCGCTTCATGTCAATCTTGGATTGCAAGTCCTTTATAATTCCTTCGGCGGTGATCCGGTTGTGAGGCTTTGCTGTGAAGATTTCTTCAAGTAGGAGCTGGCTGTTGTCCCGATCTTCAAGCTGGTCGTATTGGGTGTTTAAAATGCTTCTCTTTGTTTCAAACTCATCAAATTCCTCCTCTTCTGTTTCTACATTGAATGGGTAGTCTCCGCCAGTACTCAGTTGGTAGAGGATTACTCCAAGAGCCCAGACATCAGATCATTCATCACGATCATGTCCGAATGTAAAGAATTCTGGAGGAAGATGATTAATCATCGAGGAGTACAGATTCTCATCCTCATGGACTTTCCCTGTAACATGTTTACAATAAAAGTCTCCAATGCAGGCCACGTTGTTCTCTGTGTCAAGGAAAACATTTGATCATTTTAAGTTTCCATGGCATGTAAGCAAACTTTGTTTCTTAAGATCTTCCAGACAGCGCGCAATTTGATACACGAAGGATAGGCATTCATCTTCTGGCATTCCGTCGTCATCAAACTCTTCGAGGTAATCCTTAAGAGTTTTGGGGTAATATTGGTTGCTCAAAGTGACATAAATAAACTCTCCATCACTGCTAGTCTTGCACTCAAACTTATCAAGAGTTTGAAACCTTGGGCTCTCTGAAACAGAGCTGATAGAAGCCAATATACTGCTGATCATCTGAAGCTCAGAATCTGCATTGCAAGAGCCAATCTTATATCACTTTGCTCGGAAAGTTTTACTTTTGCCTTTCAAAATCTTTGTGAAGTAGTAATAATTGTTTGAGAGTTCTTCCGCCCCGGACATATTTTAATTAAAATTATTCAATCTTTTGAATAAATAGGGGTTTTGGGGTTTTGGGGTTTTGGGGTTTTGGGGTTTTGGGG